GTTCCATTGCGGGTCTTGGTTGTTGCCGAAACGCTATAAGCTCAGCGTAGCTTCGCGACTCACTTCAGGTGCGGTTCATCGATGTCATTGGGACTCCTGTGCTCGGATAGTAGTGTTCATCGTCGCTCTTTAACGCAGAACCGTTCGTGGAGACCTATAGGCAATTTTCGATGCCTACATGGATCCGCTTACTCTGGTAAGCAATGACTCATACTTGCCTCGACAAATTTCTTTAACCCTGGATGGGTTCTTCATCAAGGACGATAATGAAGATGTTTTGTCTTCTTTTGAATGAAACACAGGAATAGAACTCTTCTGTGTTTCAGATTGATAATGCAGTCTTGACCCAAGCGTTTCAGATTAGTCCATTGGACTTGTATTAGTAACTTGATTTAGCCACTAATTCCCCTTTTATTTTCTTTAGCAGTTCTAGAACAATCATCTGGAAAGAGGGCTTTCACTGTCAAAGAAGCAGATCACTATGAAGCGAACGCTCGCATGAGGAGACTTGCTAACATTTCTGAAGATAAGGAAAAGAAAAACACCTCTTCCGGTGTTTGCTTCGCAAATCTCTTCGCATATTCATCCAAAACATGGTTTCTTAGACTCCATAGGTGCAGGGGTGGATGGAGGCCGTCCATTGGTAATGAAGGATCAGTCCCCCAGATCTAGCCTATTACTATGGTCGTCCCGGGTTAGGAATTTATTTCTCCGGACTTCAGCTCTATGCAAGGTCTCATCCAAAGGTTGGAGAATGCTATGAAACACGCAATCTCTATCGTTAGCGCTGGATGGGGGACCTTCATGGTATTTGACACTTACATAGCAGATAGTCTAAAGGTAATTTAGCGTACAGGCGGTGATCAAGTAGCCAGGTGCTACGAACATAAACTTATTTATTTGGAGAAATCCGTACATTGAAAGCACCCTAATGCCACTAGGAAAGAATCCTAGAGGTGGTGAATAGGGTTTATGCTAATCTAATCTGATTTATGCCAATTTAAAAATTATTAACAAATATATCCTTGTAAAAGAGATATGAACAATATACATACAAGGATATACAAATAACACAAGGGTAAACAATCTAAACTAGATAGTGGGCAATATAAACAACAAGAAATATATAAAAGCGATATAAGATATGAACATAAAAATAAGTGCGCCAATGCAATCATAAACAAATGATATGTTCACGGAGTTCGGTCCCCACGACCTAGGTCTCCGCTCCTCACCTCGAGGAGATCTCCATATCACAATCGGGTTTTCTACGCTCACCTGGATAACGTTTACACCTCACACTCGGGTTTTTAGTTCACTAAAAACTTTACAATCCATACTCTTGCAATCCCACTCTACATCCTCTAAGTATTGGTCTCTAGCCTGTGTCTCCCTTAAGTATTAGGAATTACAACCTACCTCTAGGCATTACCACCTATCTCACTCTTCTTGGGATGACCCGTCTCTCACCACACACTTCTCTCGGTGTACAAGTGTATTACAAAGTAATCTCACAATTAAGCACAAATACAACAATGGTTGTTCTCTACTATAGATGAGAACACAATGAAAGCTCACACTCTAAGTCACACAATCCCCACAACCTAAATTATACTATGTATGAAAATACAATAAGCTCAATGTTTGTGTGTGTAAACAAAGAGTAAAAATAAAACAATTAAACTCAATAATAAACTCTAGCTTATGAAAATTAGAATCAAAACAATAAATAGCTAGAATTGAGTTTAAGGAAACTTCTCTATGGATAACAAGAGAGAGGAAGAAGAGTGAATGCTCAAACACCAAAGGATGATCTCCTCAATCTTTTGTGAAAGTTTCTTCACAAACAAACTCTTGAAACAAACTTAAACAAAACTTAAATACCATTTAAACTTGTTTAAAAACTTTCTTCGATGGTTTTTGGCCTGAGGTATGAGTGATATTTAAGGGATCCCAAAACACAAGAAAATCAATGTAAAAAGACCAAAAATCCAAAATAGGACAGGGCTGAAAAAACTAGTCGTTACAACATCAGTCAACTGACGAATTTCATCAGTCGCTTAATGAACTGACCGTTATAGGCATTTTGCAGTTCATCAGTCGACTGACGACCTTATCAGTCGACTGATGACCTCATTAGTCGACTGGTCAGTCGACCAACATAAAAACAAAAACTTTTGACTATTCCAGGTATTTTCTTCAGTCGACTGAACACATGTATCAGTCGACTGATAACACTTTATTAGCCTGTTTTGAATAGTAAAATTAATTTTTAAAGTACCTTTAAAAATAAAAAATAAATTCCAAAAAATGTAAAAACTTTGGGAAATGATTCTAAATATGATAATACACATGTTATTAAAACTGGTTTTTAAAAAGCACCTCCCAAATGAGAAATCTCTTTATTTTTCAAAATGGTCGAAAACATAAAAATAAAACACTTGTTTTTGACATTTTGATTAAACCATGCTTTGAAACTTTATAAGATGATTATATAGACTTAATAAAAGATGTATATAATGGTTGTTAAGTCCATAAACAAATAACTCAATATTTTCACAAAAATGCATGTTTTGCAAACTTTCAAAACAATAAACATGATTTTATTGAACTATATAAACTTGATATTGATGAAATCATATATAAGTATATAAACATGAAACAAGTATGTATTTTCCAATTATATTCATTTGTTTCATATTTAAACTTGAAAATCAAAAACCAAAACTTGTGTGTGTGTGTGTATATATATATATATATATATATATATATATATATGGAGAGGTTCTAATAAAAACCTCCTTAGCCTAAAAACTAAAAATCTCCTTCATCCAATGGCTAGGATTCAGTCAAACAGTCAATAGACACATGCGTTAATTACCTCATTAAACACATGCATTAATTACATCAACACAGTGAATCTGGATTCACTGCAGTGATCCGAGATACGTTGATGTAGTGAATCTGGATTCACTACGTTCAGGTAATTAATGAGGAAATTAATGCATGTGTCTGTTGACTGTTTGACTGAATCTCAGCCATTGGATTCATCCAGATCCAATGGATGAAGGAGGGTTTTAGTTTTTAGGCTAAGGAGGTTTTTATTAGAACCTCTCCCTATATTTAATTACCTTCAACGAGTGAATCCAGATTCACTACAGTGAACCCAGATTCATTACCTCAATGAACACGTCCTTCACTGCAGTGAATCCAGATTCACTGCAGTGAATCCAGATTCATTACCTCAACGAACACGTTTTTCACTGCAGTGAATCCAGATTCATTACCTCAACGAACACGTTTTTCACTACAGTGAATCCCGATTCACTACAGCGAATCCAGATTCACTGCAGCGAATCCAGATTCACTGCAGCGAATCCAGATTCATTGCAGCGAATCCAGATTTGTGTTCGTTGAGGTAATTAATGCATGTAATTAATGCATGTTCTGTTGACTGTTTGACTCTTTTAGGTTTTGGTAAGTTTCGTGAATTTTTTTTTTCAAAATATACAAATTTAAAAAGTAATTTGGTTTTTTTGCTAATTTTGCAATTTTTTAAAGTGTTTAAATTATGGAAGTTTTTTGAGTACTTCTACCAGCTTGGTAACTTATATGGATCCTGGATGTTTCTAACTTAGTTAATGACACATAATTAGCATTGGTCTCATTAATTATGAAGATAAATTAGGAAGTAATATTTCGTGATATCATCTAATTATCTTTATCTTAAGAATATTTCATAATGTCATCTAATTATCTTATCTTTATTTTATTAAATACAAAGAAATATATGATAAGATAAAGAGTTCTTTTTTTACTTGTTAGGTACCAAATTTAACTCTTTAGATATTCATAATTTTAAATCTTTATATATTTTCTCTAGGAAAGAAAATTTTCCATAGCTCGTATCTTATTAAAGATATTTGAATTAATTTGAGCATGATCACAATGAAATCATGTTAAAGATGTTTAAATTAATTAGGAGAAGTTGAAATGTAAGAAATTCTTTTGGGGTTTTGTGTAAATTTTATAAAATCTAGGAGTTTTTTACAGGTTTTGTAAAATCTAGGATTTGTTAAGAAAACTTTTCAATTGGTCGAACTCTTTTGAGTTTTAGTGCAAAATATACAAATTTTAAGTCTTTATCTATTTTCTCCCGTAAATATATTTTGCACATTTTGAGATTTTCTATTTTTAATTATTAGAAAAGTGGCTAAACGTAGACAATGAATAATTATATACAATTTAATATAATTTTAAACATATTTAAATCAAGAACAATTTTTCACTTTAGCCCTTTTAAATTTTTTTATTATTAAAATCGACCCTTTTTTTTTTATTTATCAAAACCGACCCGATTTTTTGATTAGCGGCTTAATCACATTCCTAATTAGTCGGGGTTGCCAACCCCGACTATTTAGGAGGGTCTTAAACCCTAAGTAAAAGCCCTAAACCCTAAAAATTAATATCCTAAATAGTCGGGGTTGGCAACCCCGACTAATTAGGAATGCGATTAAGCCGCTAATCAAGAAATCGGGTCGGTTTTGGTAAATAAAAGAAAAAAGGGTCGATTTTAATAATAAAAAATTTTAATAGGGCTAAAGTGAAAAATTGTTCTTAAATCAAACATGGGCTTATATATACATTAATTAGTTTAAGATAGGATCATTGAAGCTTATATTTATTAATAAAAACTAAATAGGATAGGCGATTTGATAATAATGTAATATCTTAACAGATCAGGAATATTATTTATCCTTCGAAAATTTTTCACGCTTTTAAAAGTAAAATAAAATAAAATATACGATTTCATACAACATATACTGCATGCACGTAACATCTGCGGAACCTCACTGTTTTCGGCAAGCCCAGCGAGCTGCTAAACTTGAATCCAAGTCGGCCCATAGCAGGTCCACTCGGGCAGGGTTTGGAGTTAAACCCGACCCGGCCAACACCCAGAATTTGGAACCCGGATCTTGGCGTTGCAGCCAAATCGATGCAATCTGCACCCTTGAAAGCTAGGGTTTTTATTTATATAAGAGAGTAGAGATGGCGAGCTAGGGTTAGGGCTTTTGGCTGCTGCTCTCATTTCATCACCCCTTGGGCTTCTCCTTGCCCCAGATCTGTACATTCCCAGGTTCAGAAATGGTAGATTCCATCTTCTATCTCTTTATTTCTTTGTAATCCTTTATAAATGCCGTTCACTTTTTGATTGTTTTTGATCATTTTGACGGTGACAGGTGAAGTATTCGAGAGAACCCTCAAACCCTACCAAGTGTGAGCATCCATTCTTCGATTTATTCTCTATTTTTTTGTTTTCTCGCAAATTTAGGGGCTGCTTGTTATGTTGCTATTTTTAATGTAGTAAACGTTGCATATATAAAATGTGTTGCAAAAGTTCTTGTAGCAAGTTAGCCCTAAGAAATGTTGATTAGATGCAAAAGCTTTTAATTTTATGTAGTTATATTATATTTTTATTAGAAATATTTTTCAGGTATCATGTTGTCAACCAAATATTGTAAATTTAAAATTGGTTGTGGAATTTACTACTGTAGCTCTGTTTTCTGTGAACAAATCAACCCCTATATGCTTCAGTTATAGTTGTTATATGGAGATCTAATTGATATTTTGAATGGGTTTTGCAGCTTCCAAGGCTATGGGTCAGAACCTCAGGGTTCATTTCAAGGTGTGTGAAGCTTAAACAGAGTCAATTTAATAACTAAACTTTTTTACTATGTTTTAACTACTTAGCATTGTAGGATGAACCTTGTTTTGTTGGTTGATTTTTAGTTCTTTTGAATTTTAAAAACATCCTATTGTAGAAAAGCTGTTAAGTTTTAGTTTTATTTTTCTAACTTTTAGTCTAAGATATAAACTTTATCTACAGTTCTGCGCTATAATTGGGCGAATTTTAATAGATTATTGTAACAACAAAGTTTCAATAGACTATGGCATGTTCATAAATTTAGATGGGCATTTTCAAATTTTTATTTTTCAGATCCAGGCTACCTCATTAGGGATATATTTCATCCCTTATCCTGAATGAGACTCTGCACTGTTAGGTAACTTAAAGCATAGGTGCTTCTCATCCTAAAGATCTACACTAAGATTCATTTTCCTTAGGCTGGTTTTGCCGAAAGGTTCAATAGATCATGGGATATACCAGTTAATCTCTGATTTATTTATTACTCAGTCCACCATCAGATTGACTTTTATCTATTTCCTCAACCTAAAGAAAAAAAGCAGGGGTTTGTTGTCTCAATGAACTCACCTCTCGTAAACTTTAGGGAAATCATCTACACTGTTATTGGGTGAACCTCTGTAGACTCTGTTGATGACAAAAGGTTCAATAGACCGTGAAACATGCAAAACAGTGCTTTTATACCGGTTTCTATTTAATTCATTTTCCAATTTAAAATGCATCTTTGTTTTTTAATGTTATGATCCCGTAGTGATGAGGGTCATCTTTTAATTAGTCTGTTCAAATTTAAGTCTACGCTAAGTGATTATGCCATAATTAAGTGAATTGTCGTAGCCTATAAATTTCTTATTTCTTAATAAAAAATTATATTATCTTTTAAATCTACAATTAGATTAAGCTTAACTCCACAATATAAAGAGAAGAGGCAAGAATTTGTTTTTTTAATTTCAAAAGCTACTTGTAAACTTTTAGAGGAGAGATCTATATTGTTATTTGGTGAACCTCGGTAGACTTTTAATGGCAAAAGATACTGTAGACCAGGAAGTGTACCTGGTGATATCTGTTTTTTTTATTTTGTCAAAAAATCCACCGTGAGCTTGAATACTTGGTCTAACATTAGATTGACTTTTATCTATTTCCTCAACCTAAAGAAAAAAAGCAGGGGTTTGTTGTCTCCATGAGCTCACCTCTCGTAAACTTTGGGGAAATCATCTACACTGTTATTGGGTGAACCTCTGTAGACTCTGTTGATGACAAAAGGTTCAATAGACCGTGAAACATGCAAAACAGTGCTTTTATACCGGTTTCTATTTAATTCATTTTCCAATTTAAAACGCATCTTTGTTTTTTAATGTTATGATCCCGTAGTGATGAGGGTCATCTTTTAATTAGTCTGTTCAAATTTAAGTCTACGCTAGGTGATTATGCCATAATTAAGTGAATTGTCGTAACCTATAAATTTCTTATTTCTTAATAAAAAATTATATTATCTTTTAAATCTACAATTAGATTAAGCTTAACTTCACAATATAAAGAGAAGAGGCAAGAATTTGTTTTTTTTAAATTTCAAAAGCTACTTTTAAACTTTTAGAGTAGAGATCTATATTGTTATTTGGTGAACCTCGGTAGAGTTTTAATGGCAAAAGGTACCGTAGACCAGGAAGTGTAGCTGGTGATATCTGTTTTTTTTATTTTGACAATCCACAGTGAGCTTGAATACTCGGTCTAACATTAGATTGACTTTTATCTATTTCCTCAACCTAAAGAAAAAAAGCAGGGGTTTGTTGTCTCCATGAGCTCACCTCTCGTAAACTTTGGGGAAATCGTCTACACTGTTATTGGGTGAACCTCTGTAGACTCTGTTGATGACAAAAGGTTCAATAGACCGTGAAACATGCAAAACAGTGCTTTTATACCGGTTTCTATTTAATTCATTTTCCAATTTAAAACGCATCTTTGTTTTTTAATGTTATGATCCCGTAGTGATGAGGGTCATCTTTTAATTAGTCTGTTCAAATTTAAGTCTACGCTAAGTGATTATGCCATAATTAAGTGAATTGTCGTAGCCTATAAATTTCTTATTTCTTAATAAAAAATTATATTATCTTTTAAATCTACAATTAGATTAAGCTTAACTCCACAATATAAAGAGAAGAGGCAAGAATTTGTTTTTTTAATTTCAAAAGCTACTTGTAAACTTTTAGAGGAGAGATCTATATTGTTATTTGGTGAACCTCGGTAGACTTTTAATGGCAAAAGATACTGTAGACCAGGAAGTGTACCTGGTGATATCTGTTTTTTTTATTTTGTCAAAAAATCCACCGTGAGCTTGAATACTTGGTCTAACATTAGATTGACTTTTATCTATTTCCTCAACCTAAAGAAAAAAAGCAGGGGTTTGTTGTCTCCATGAGCTCACCTCTCGTAAACTTTGGGGAAATCATCTACACTGTTATTGGGTGAACCTCTGTAGACTCTGTTGATGACAAAAGGTTCAATAGACCGTGAAACATGCAAAACAGTGCTTTTATACCGGTTTCTATTTAATTCATTTTCCAATTTAAAACGCATCTTTGTTTTTTAATGTTATGATCCCGTAGTGATGAGGGTCATCTTTTAATTAGTCTGTTCAAATTTAAGTCTACGCTAGGTGATTATGCCATAATTAAGTGAATTGTCGTAACCTATAAATTTCTTATTTCTTAATAAAAAATTATATTATCTTTTAAATCTACAATTAGATTAAGCTTAACTTCACAATATAAAGAGAAGAGGCAAGAATTTGTTTTTTTTAAATTTCAAAAGCTACTTTTAAACTTTTAGAGTAGAGATCTATATTGTTATTTGGTGAACCTCGGTAGAGTTTTAATGGCAAAAGGTACCGTAGACCAGGAAGTGTAGCTGGTGATATCTGTTTTTTTTATTTTGACAATCCACAGTGAGCTTGAATACTCGGTCTAACATTAGATTGACTTTTATCTATTTCCTCAACCTAAAGAAAAAAAGCAGGGGTTTGTTGTCTCCATGAGCTCACCTCTCGTAAACTTTGGGGAAATCGTCTACACTGTTATTGGGTGAACCTCTGTAGATTCTGTTGATGACAAAAGGTTCAATAGACAGTGAAACATGCAAAACAGTGCTTTTATACCGGTTTCTATTTAACTCATTATCCAATTTAAAATGCATCCTTGTGTTTTATTGCTATGACCTCATAGTAATGAGGGTCATCTTGTGGGTTCCGTAATTAGTCTGTTCAATTTTAGGTCTACGCTAGGTGATTATGGCATAATTAAGTGAATTGTGGCAGCCTATAAATTTCTAATTTCTTAATAAAAATTATATTATATTTTAAATCTACAATTAGATTAAGCTAACTTCACAATATAGGGAGAAGAGGCAGGAATTTTTTCTAATGCAAAGGCTACTTGTAACCTTTTAGAGGAGAGATCTATATTGTTATTCGGTGAACCTTGGTAGACTTTTAATGGCAAAAGGTTCTGTAGACCAGGAAGTATAGCTGGTGATATCTGATTTTTTTTTTAAATTTTACAATCCACCGTGAGATTGAATACTTGGTCCACCATCAGATTGACTTTTATCTATTTCCTCAACCCAAAGAAAAAAAGCAGGGGTTTGTTGTCTCCATGAGCCCACCTCTCGTAAACTTTGGGGAAATCATCTACACTGTTATTGGGTGAACCTTTGTAGACTCTGTTGATGACAGAAGGTTCAATAGACAGTGAAACATACAAAACAGTGCTTTTATATTGGTTTCTATTTAATTTATTATCCAATTTAAAGTGCATCTTTATTTTTTATTGTTATGACCCCGTAGTAAGGAGGATCGTCTTGTAACTAATTGTAAACTTTTAGAGGAGAGATCTATATTGTTATTCGGTGAAACTCGGTAGACTTTTAATGGCAAAAGGGTTTGTAGACCAGGAAGTATAGCTGGTGATATCTGATTTTTTTAAATTTGACAATCCACCGTGAGATTGAATACTTGGTCCACCATCAGATTGACTTTTATCTATTTCCTCAACCTAAAGAAAAAAAGCAGGGGTTTGTTGTCTCCATGAGCTCACCTCTCGTAAACTTTGGGGAAATCATCTACACTGTTATTGGGTGAACCTCTGTAGACTCTGTTGATGACAAAAGGTTCAATAGACAGTGAAACATGCAAAACAGTGCTTTTATACCGGTTTCTATTTAATTCATTATCCAATTTAAAATATGTTATGACCCCGTAGTAAGGAGGTTTGTCTTGTGGGTTCCACAATTAGTCTGTTCAAATTTAGGTCTACAAATTAAGTGAATTGTGGTAGCCTATAAATTTCTTATTTCTTAATAAGAAATAATATTATCTTTTAAATCTACAATTAGATTAAGCTTAACTTCACAATATAAGGAGAAGAGGCAGCAGTTTGTTTTTTAGTGCAAAGGCTACTTGTAAACTTTTAGAGGAGAGATCTGTATTGTTATTCGGTGAACCTCGGTAGGCTTTTATGGAAAAGGTTCTGTAGACCAGGAAGTATAGCTGGTGATATGATATTATATTAATTTTCCAATCCACAGTGAGATTGATCCACCCCCACCCCCCCACCCCACAAAAAAATAAAAAAATAAAAAAAATAAAACCCTAAAGAAATAGGAAGGGGTTTGTTCATTGTTGTCTCCATGAACACACCTCACAAATTTAGGGAAATCATCTACACTGTTATTGGGTGAACCTCTGTAGACTATGTTGATGACAAAAGGTTCAATAGACAGTGAAACATGCCAAACAGTGCTTCTATACCTGTTTCTATTTAATTCATTTTTCCAATTTGAAATGTATCTTTATTTTTTATTGTTATGACCCCATAGTAATGAGGGTCGCCTGGGTTCCATAATTAGTCTGTTCAAATAGGTCCATTCTAGGTTATTATGCCACAATCAAATGAACTTGTGGGATTCTTATATATATGTATAATCCAAAATAAATTCATCTTTTAAATCTACAACTAGATTACACTTGGCTTTAACAATTAAAGAAAAGAGGCAGGAGTTTGTTTTTTAATTAAAAGGC